TGAGCTTGTTAGAGCTAGCTACAACAGGTTATGGCAATTTTAATTTAGCGGCCAATCAGTAGGAAGGAGAAGCGGAAAACTTAGTGTTGTTTTGCGACAGCAGGGGAACACTTTGGTAATGGCGGATCTTTGACTAGCCGTTAGCTTGTTAGTCTGGATGGAAGTAAATAGCATGTTTCTAAATACAGGCTGTTCAGGCTATGCAAACGAATACGTTTGATCTCTTTTACACAGAAATGTGTGTAAAAATGGTTGAAAATCACATTTCGAGCTTTAAAGGAGAGAAAGTGAGATCCTCCACCAGAGGGTTGGATGAGGCCGGTTTGTGGATTAAGGCACTAATCCTCATAATCCCTTTGACTGCTTTAAAGGTGGAATATGGAACATTTTAATTAAAAGATATATTAAAAAATACCTCCATGGGGCGTTTAGAGGTGTGCAGAATGAATGTACAGTTTCTCCTTTAAATCATTAATAATCAAATTTTTATTTTGACGGGCACAACACTGGGTTTATGTTTACATCTACCAGCCAATAGGGGGCACCGTTGCGGTAAAAAGAGCACTTGGGACTGTGTAAAATGGAGTACTTGCTAAGTCTGAGCCCAGAAGGTGTTCTAACAGTAAATACTGTTGTAAAATAAACATATTAGTAGAAAGTATTCCTTACCCTGTATGGTTCATCACTGGACATGGTGCTGGCTGGTCACTTATCGTGTCAGCAGTGAACCACTAGCACCTCTAAACACTAGATGTCGCTAGAGTGTCCATGTTCCATAGTCAACCTTTAATGCCAGAATGTTCTGTGTGAATGTGAGAAGATAGTCTATGACGATTTACCACAGATTTTTCAGTAACACAGGGGCCCACAATGCAGTTAAAATAATTGTGCAGGCGAGCCAGCTGCATGTCCAGAAGCTGCCTCTCTCACTCGGTGCTACATGTTCCTCTCCTCTGTCCGCCTGATTGATCAGCTGTTATGTAAGCAGGACTCTGTCACGTGGCTCACATTGTGATCTATTATGCGACATTTGGTTTGCATAATTAACAAAGTCAGGTCTCAGCGACCCGGATGCTCCGGGACGGATCTGACACCCGGGAGACGAGCGAGCAGCCGGGAGGCACGGACACAAACGACTCCTTACATGATCTGCGTCCGTGCGCCGCTCAGACGGATGGAAGACGAGTTAAAGAGATGACGAGCATAAAAAAAATCACAGATGGCTTGACGTCGTTTGACTGACAGATCTGATTCCTCAGGGTTTTGTCATTCAGGTAAGGCGTATGAAGTTGGCAAGTTTGCCTTTAAGAAATCATCCATCCATGTCAGAGTTGTGACGACACGGACTCCTATCTGGAGAAATGGGAGACTATTTTTGAACCCCTCCTCACTGCCTCCCCTATGTTTTGCTTTTGAGAATGAATTAGCATATAAACGTGAGAGTGCACCTATTTCTATGGGAGGGAGTGGTTCATCTCATGAGGGGGGCTGGTTGGGGAGCACTGCCAGCCACCGTCTCACCCACTGGGCTGTTTCTTTGCATAAAAAATAAATAAATAAATAAACGAACGGGCTGTTTTCATCATGGTTTTTATCCTCATGTATCCTCAGCTGGAAGAGGACTGAGTCATAGCAGGGAGAGGCAGGTGTGTGTGTGCGTGTGTGTGTGGAGGAGGGGTGTGGGTAGTAGAGAGTGGATGGGGAGGGGTGGGAGTATTTTTGTGAATAAAAGAGAAGTTATGAATGGTGACGCTCTTGTTTCACAGCGTGGCGTTCATCAGCCACTAAAACGGGAAGATCTGTCCCCAGAGGAGCATAAAGGGCTGCTTATGCTCTAAAATGATTCTGGTTTCTATTAGTGATCGCTCCTGTGTGGGACACTGTCCCATTTCCATGATGCTTCAGTGCCAGAGGCTCGTGCATGACAGACGGTTGGGAGCAAATGCTTGTGATCGCGGTGGTCTGGGTGTGAGCTGGGATAGTTTGGGTAAACTGTGAGTCTTTGAGATTGTGGTTTGATCAGTACGACCTTAACGACAAGGTGAGGAGCATCATCATACAGCAGGAGCTGAAAATAGAGCTGCTACTCCTCCTCAAAAGGTGCGGGGATGCCTTAGATCAATGGTTTCCAACCATGTTTCCTTTGGAACCCCGTTGCCTTGTGCACAGATGACACATGATTAAATACAGACTGTATACAGACATACAGAATCTTGATTATACTCTTGGATGTTATTGTAGTGATTAAAATAGAAATTAGTAACCCCAGAGAATACTGCGGGGACCCCCTTGGAGGGTTGTGGATCCCAGGCTGGGAACCACTGGAGATGGATGGATAGATGGATGATAGGGTAACAGAAATTTAGCAGAAATCATAAAATCCTATCAATCATATCACAAAGCTGGTTGTGCAGCACCTGGCTAAAGGTGACAGACCATCTGCTGCGGTGGCCCCAGACTCTGGACCTCATCCCCCATGCGTGACCTTCATCACCACCCTCTCCTTACTCTGCTCTTTCCACTGATTACCTCTTCCTTATTCCAGTTCTCTTTCCATTTTCTTATGTTCTTTTAATCACAATTTTTATATATTTTTAAAATCTTTTTATTTTTGTTCTCGGGAAGCACCTTGTGACTCTCATCGTGAGAGGTGCTGTATAAGAGGGGTTGCTGAGTGACGACATGGTGGGAGACACTGTGTAATTCACCAGCAGGTGGTGTGAAACAGCGCTACAAGTGCAAATAAACTCGCTTTCAACGGGAAGAACATGTGAGTCATTTTAAGATGCAGGAGTCAATTTTATCCTGGCTAGGCTCAAATTAGCCATTAGCTCGCTGGTTCTGTTGATGATAAAAGCCATTTCTCTAAACAGAGGCTGTTCAGGAAGCTACTACAAGGTGGTAATTGTTTAAATGTTTCCCTCAAAATCTTCAAAAGAGGAGAAAAATAATTTAAAGTAATTAGTACATGACCGGTTGAAGTCCGTAGGAAATGTTAAATGTGTGGAAAGAGACGTGATCAGATGTGATTCAGCGCCCAAGGCTGTTGGGAGGCAGCGAGAGGCAGATGTGTGGGTGATGATCTCTTTTTGTCTCACTGAGTTTGAAATGTTTGTGGAGGGTGGATGGGTGGGCAGGCCATTAGAAGTGCATGCGGTGTGTGTGTGTGTGTGTGTGTGTGTGCTCTGACATCACCGCTGCCGTCACTGCAGCCACCTCTCAGTGACTCCCCTGTGACCGAAGGCCTGACAACCTCCCACGCTCTCCCCTGGCTTTATTTCTCACCCCGCCCATCCCTGTCCACGATGTGCTTCACGTCTCCGCCCCAAATCCAAATGTCTCCACCATCTTTTCCCTTTTGTATTTCATCCGCCTCCTGTTTTCCCCTCCCTTCTCCAACTTGCTCGTTTTCATCTCACTCCCCCTCATTTGGTGTGTGGGTCTTCCCTGTGTCTTCTGCCATGCTCTCTGCGCCCACCGTGCTCCCTGTCAGTGTCTCTAAGGAAACCCCGAGTGGACACGAGTGCCTCGGAGGTCTGTGAGGCACCGATACAGACGCGGCAAAATCGCATGTTTTCCTTCTTTACCAGAGAAAGGAGAAAGAGGAAAGCAAACACTAAATATTTGCTGCGTGGCCCGGCCTTAACCCCCCATCTTGAGAAAGGTAGAAGCTCTGATTGGTGTCAGGAGGGAGGAGAACAGAGAGGCGATGAAGAAGAAAGGAGGGAGCTGTTTACATCCTGGGGCTTCTCGCTTACAAGGTGCAGAAAGAGACCACCTGATGCACTCTGCACCTTTATTCCTATCTAAATCATCACACACACACACACACACACACACTTATCTGCCTCCCCGCTCCGTGTCGCACCTCACAAAGCACATTTCCTCACATTTACACACTGTTGAGCTAGCTGTGCTGCGTACAGCCTGTGCGTCATCGGGGCCCGAACGCATCTGAACGACAGGTGATTTGTGATGAGAGGCCCCACACAGACAGAACCTCACAGCTCTGGGTCGCTCTGCCAGGCACCAGCGTGATTTGACGGTTATGCTTAAGTGGATCATTGCAGAGCGCCGTCATGGGGGGAGGGGGTGTTGCGTACGTTCTGCCACGTGTCATATTTTGGGAATAGAGCTGTAGCAGGAGATGTGCAGTGTACCAAAATACATTTATTAATGGAATGTTTAGACATGTTTTTCTGTGTAGCTCTAACTATTAACACTCATACCCTTTGTAGAAAGCTTCCTGAAAGGCCTCAGTGCAGAGAAACAGCTTTATATCCAACCGCTCTGATCTTTTTCTTGACAGTGATGTTTCAAAAATGCGATTAGACCTGACCCCTTGATGCACTGTTGCTGCTGATGTAAACAAAATCCCAGCTAAACGATAAACATGGTGCAAGTTGGGCGAAGGCGTGTTTTATTTGAACTGGTTTTTGTGAACAGGAGCCGTTTAAAAAGGAAAAGAAAATAATTGGCTTCAGTCCTAAAACATGCAAACTCTATTTCTCTGAAGGGAGGCTGTTCAGGAAGCTATTTTTAACTTTTATCCAGAAACATACTTTAATTTGACCATAAAAAAATCTTCACACACCTGAAGGTTTGTACGTTTTTTTCTTTATTTTATAAAAACGTACACGAATAAACTACAACAAAGGACTACGTTAAAGAAGACATCCAAACAGGCAGCAGCAACAGGGGAAAATTAACTGAACACACACACACACGCACACACACACACACATCCCAGTGCTGGACCCACGCCCTTGAACACCCACAGTGCGGTGAGATAAAGACATGCCAGTGATGTCTCACATTTAGGCACTTGATTTCCCAACTAGACCATCTTTGGTTGCAGTCGCTGTTGCTCGGCTCTCCACAGGTCCTCTGAAGCTCGGCCACACAGCGAGAGAGGAGTCGTGTGTGTTTAAACAAGAATGGCGTCTTCCGTGTTCGTGAACGACCCAAAGATGGTTAGACCCGGATAAACGCCACAGAGGAAACGTTATTAAAGCAACGCTCCATGATACGATAACCCACGTGTTTACAGAAGGACCTTCACGACGGGAAAGGAAACGAGCACTACGTTGGAACACAGCTCACCTGAAAAACAATGCATCGTAATCTGCACGTGACACACGGTAACAAATATGCTGTACAGTCCACACCAAAGGCATTGTTGTTGGCATTTGTCTTTTCGTCTCGGAAAGTCTTGCAAAAATAGATCCATTTCTAATAAATACAATCCTTAATTTGACCTCGAATGTGATCTAATCAGCTACTCATGCATGGACTATCATCGGGTACATAACGTCTTTAAAACACCGTAGACTTCTGGCCATTTTTTTAGGAATACCTCCTTTCTGTGACAGACTATCAAAGTTACAAGAAACTGAGAAGCATAGTAGTCACACAGTATTTGGCAGTGAGAAACAGTCCTAATGTATCCATGCACAATATTAACCACAGGCAGGGTCCACGCTCTGAACAAACCCATTAAGAACAACACAGTAGGAACATTAAAACAGGGTAAAAGAACCTGGAAGTGTGTGTGTGTGTGTGTGTGCGTGTGTGTGTGTGTGCGTGTGTGTGTGTGTGTGTGTCAACAGTGCGGTTGGTTTTCCAGGGAGAACACAGGCCCATGACTCATGCAGTGCAAACAACATTTTCTGGAATTTGAACAACTTCGGAAGAATTTTGGTTTTCCCACAGAGCCCAGATAATTAGATGTCATCACGTTAGAACCGTATCGAGCACTCAATACGGTTTCCCACTCACTCCCACCCCCGCAAGGTCTATTATAGACCAAACCATTTATCCCTGGATTACATTTTTCGTTTTCCAGCTCTAGTAAACGCGGGCTCCCTGCTCCGGTGGGAGTTAGCGTGCGCCCGTGTGAGTCTCAGACGAGTCCCGTCTGTGGGTGCAGGTGTAAAGGGTACGGCTGGTACAGCAGGGCTGATCCCCCCTGTGGTATGTAGTAGCTGCAGTAGCTAGGTTCTGCTAGATAGGGGGCGCTGTGCTCCGCAAGGTACGGGGCAGGCTGGTAGAAGCACGTGACGTGGTCCGTGTTGGGTATGATGTTCTGCTCTCCGAGAACCTTCAGAGCCAACACGGTGATCATGTTCAGCGTTTGGCGCCTCTCGTGACCCATCAGACACACGGTGCTGTCATCGATGACGCGACGCAGCGTCATCAGGTACTGGTACTTGCTTCTCTCTTCGCCGATGAAGTGGTTCTTCAAGTAGGACAGGATCTTCCTCTGCTGCTCCTGCACGTCGGGGAAGTCGATGAAGAACCGCGAGCACATGTAGCGCTCCAGAGTCTTTATCTGGGTCTCACTGGCGGGTCGGTAATCTCTCACCAGCAGGTTGCTGTATTTCAGCAAGCCGCCACCGCGGATCTCCTCAGGATTCCTGGTAGCGATCAAACGGTAGCGCAGGTGGTCCATCGCTGCTTCGAAGTCCCCATACATGCTCTCTGCCAGGACCTCGACATCGGGGACGGAGTCTAATACTCGAGGAGAGCTGCACAGTTCAGACGTGTCTGCGGTTGCCTCGGGGGGCTCTTTATTGTCAGGCACAGGTTTGAACGCTTCAGTGGGTTTAGGAGTGGCAGATGCCCCTGAGCCTTCAGACTGAGGCTGAGGCAACGCATGTGAGGTGGAACTGGGAATTGCGATTGGAAAAGATGCAGGCTCAGCGACCTGAGGCAGCGATGAGATACAGTTATGGTCCTTTTCATCCTCCATCTGTAATGGAGCTGCTGACTGGGGAGCGGCTTCATCCACGTCTGCATTCGCCATCAAACACTCCACGTCTGAACACACCTGAGGTAAAATGTCCTTGGACTCTACTGGTGGGGTGAAGCAGAGGAGGGGAGGGCTAAGGCTGGGGGAGGGTGGGGTTGGACAGAGTGGAGGGGGGCTAAGGCTAAGCATGGGAGGGGTGAGGTATGGAGGTGAGCTGAGGCAGGAGGAGGTCGGGCTGAAACTCTGAGGAGGAGAGCTGAAGCTGGTGGGGCTCATGGTGCTCAGCATCGGAGACGGGGGGGTCAAGCATGGGGGAGGGCTGAGGCTGGGGGGTGAGGGTGTGAAATTAGGAGGGGACAGACTGAGAAGAGGAGGGATGACATTTGGACAGGAGTTGTCTGGAGGACTGGTATTTAGGCTCATCGTTGGGGTCTGCTGCTCCGTGCTAGCTTCAGCTTCCTCAGCTGGTGGGGGTGGAGGTTCTTGGGTGTTGGAGCTGGGCGGACCTGGTGAGTTGCGAGGCTCTGGTTCTTTGGGTTCTGAGAGCGACTCTCTAGGGCTGGACTGGCTTTGCTCGTGTGTGTTTGATGTGTCCTTTAAGCTTGCTTCACCTGAAGCGTCTGGGATTTTGGGAGGGGTAGAAGCCTCAGGAGGTACTGCGGACACAAGTTCAGGCGGGGATGTGGAAATCGCAACCAGGGCTGGAACTGGAGCTGAGGTTAGGTCGGGAAGTGAAGGCTCAGGCCCAGAATCTGCTGGGAAAACTGCAGGGTGCAAAGTGGGAGTTGTTGGCTTCAGCTGAGAGACCTGTCCTGGTTCTGCTGGGGACTCGGACTCTGGACAGGAGGCAACAGTACGTTCGTTTTCAGGGACGTGGCTGGGGTGAGGACCGGAGGAGACCTTTCGACACATCCTCCGAGGCGGCTTTGGGGACGAGTGTTTGAGCACCACCATGTGAGACAGTCTCTCTGAGACCTTACAACAGGGGGAGGATGAGGTCTTTCTGTCAGAAACAAGGCTAGGCGGTGCGGGAACGATTTCCTGAGTAAATGGAGGGTTGACAGCATCGGCTGCTTTCTCTGAGTTATCTGTGAGTTGTGTGCTGTGAATCTCCGGTGAATCCTCGGTGTCAGCAGGCTGTGTGTTGCTAAGTGTAAGGATGGACGAGGCGGAGCAGGGACAATCAATACTCTGTGTGTCTTCTCCACGTTTCTCCTCCAAAGCTGAAGCCTCGTCAGTCATTTCACGCATTTCTGGATCATTCCCCCTCTCTGCTTCCAGCTCCTTGCTCGTTTCTTCCTCCGTTCCTTCATTTCTTAACTGTGTCTCTATCTTTGCACACGAAGCCGTGCTGGTGTCTGAATCGGACACGTGCAGACTGTTATCTTCCTCGTTGCTGCTCCGATCCTCTGTGAGATGCTCGGATACGTTGGTTTGATCAGATTTCTCCGTACTGAGCAGCTCCGCTGTACGGTCTAGAGGCTCTGCCTGAGGTATTGTTGAGGCGTCGGGTGTCTCAGAACGTCCCATCTGCTCTGTGAGCTCCCTCTGTTCATCGGGCGGGTTTGAGTGGTTAGCTAGTTCTTCCTGGCCATCACAGCGCTCCGGTTGCTCCGTCTGTCCTACCGCCACCGATGACTTGGACTCGTCTACGAGCTCCTGTTTGAGGTCAGACTGAGTCTGCAGGCCAGACTCCTCAGAAGTGTCCGTCTCGTCTGACCGAGGTGGGAGAGATGTCTGCTCTGACTCATTCTCTTTGTGCTCAGCCAGTTCTTCCAGCTCTGCAGACTCTTTTTCCCCTTTGCGGAGTTTCGTCTGGGTTGCATGTTCAGTTTGTTGGGAGAATTCTGTCTGAGACTCCTTTTCATGCACTTCGTCTCTCGGCTGTGTCCGGCCGACAGGAGCCCTTGGTTCCTTAGACGCCTGGACGGTGGGCTTCTCCGCACCTGGAGGCGTGGTCTGATTGAGCACGGAAGAAGAGTCTCTCTGAGCTTCTACGAGCTGGTCCTTCACGTTAACAGCATCAAATCTGTGCTGAGAGTCCTGCTGCATGTAGGACTCAAGGAGGCGGTCCAGAATGATCTGGAACGAGTCCACGCTGAACTCGAACTGGCGTCTCAGGGAGCTTACAAACTTAAGCTCCAGGTTCTTGCCGCTGTTGTTGGACAGAGAGATGAGGCTCCAGCGGTCGTGGTCGTTGAAGACCTTGACCATTTTCTGAACGTAGGCCTCCTTCATTGTGGCGCTGCTGATTCGCTCTTTGTTGACCCCGGCAGGCAGGCAGTCCAGCAGGCAGCCCAGCACCGACTCTTTAATCACCTGCGGAGACAAGAGGTCAACAACATGACCGCTTCAACTGGAGACACGTTTCACTCCCATTACTGAATGGTACACGGTAATGCTGTCACGGCTGTGTTTTCATGCTGTTTTCACACATTCACCAGCTCCACTTTTAAATTATGGTCATAATTCTAACCCTCATTGATGAAAACGCCATCAAAATAATTAGAAACCCTGTTATTTTGAGCAAGTTAGCCCAGTCATGGTCCGGGGGGGGGGGGGGGGGGGGGGGGGGGGAGATCCAGAATGTTTTACTTGTTTCTCTGCTCCAGCACACCTGAATCGGTGATCAAATGACATGTTCAGTAGCTCATCAGGTTCTGCAGAGGCCTGTTAATCATCTGCTAAAGGAAATCGGGTGTGTTGAAGCAGGGAAACAACTAAAACATGGTGGATACCAGCCCTCCAAGACCAGGATTGGGCACCCCTGATTTAAAGACGGCTCTAGTTCTTACAAAAATGTACAGATGTTGAGTTAAGATCTGTTGTGCTGGAAGCTAAGATGGAATCATTCCAGCTGTTACTAAAAGAAAAACATCTTTATTTGCTGTCCTGCATTTGTTTAACAGTGAAAAGTTCGTATTTCCTAACAGGGCAGCACACCTGGAACTCCTCCTGACTCGGCAGCTCCACCCCGAAGATGATGTCCAGGTCCTTGTAGCTGGTTCCGTTGTCTCGAACCAGGACATGGCTGGCTGTGGAGCCGTTCAGGCGAACATCTCTAACCGCGATTCCCTGATCCTGCAGCCTAGCCCGCACCGCTATGATGATGTCGCGAGGACGCAGCTCCAGCGTGGGAAAGTTCCCGCGACCGTGGATTGGAACCACCTCTGAAAGCACCTGATGGAGGACCTCCACCTGCTCGGCGTTCAGGCTGTGAAACCGCTGACTGGATCTCTTTTCAGACATGCTGCTGCCCTGCGGAGAGGGAGCGATGAGCGTTTAGTGTCATCACACTGTGTTACATGTTTAAGTCCCTTGCAGTTGCTCTGTGTCACACGCGCACGCACACACACGCACGCTCCCTGCAAGTCACAGCTTGGCTGACAGCTTTTCCACTAATGTAGCTGCCGCGCTGACAAACTAACACATGGACACGTGCACGTGCTTTCCACAAACATTCGTCCGCTGCCCAAGCACAACAAACCAGGCGGAGGTCTTTGGAGCCAGAAACACATATAAGTGGTCGCTGCAACAAATCCATCAGTCACTTTATTGTATTTAACTGTGAGAAAACTGACTTTTTTGTGTTTTCAGACAAAAATCTTCATTCTTTTCCACCAGAAGAGCAGGGGTTAAAGGCAATGAGTCATCACCAGCAGACTGCATTAATCACACCGACGTCACTAATTAAAGACACGCATCTGTTTTTGTGTCCGTGTGTGCAGCAGTGCATCATGTGTGCACTTTACAAACTCACATATTCATGCGGACGGGGCACGGCGTTACGCCTCAGAAAGTTGCAAAAACTAAACGGAACAAAGTGAGATGTAACCTCCGGCGCTCGTATCACTCCGGATTTGGAACGTGAGCAGATCGTCATCGAGTTACAATCAGATTATGCGTCATCGCCCCATCAATCAATCCCCCAAAAAAGAGGCAACAATCCTTTCAAAGATCGGCGTGGCATTTGTCTAAACAAGCACGAGGAGGGTCTCTACGTGTGTTTCAGAGTGTGTGTGCTCACGTTTGAATGAGCAATGTGGTCCATTATAATCTATTGTTTGCTTTAATCAATAGTTGTCAGCGGAGTGCTGCTGATTGCTGTGATTTGTCAATACTAGCAGGCTAAAGACGGGGATCTGAGTTGGGATGTTTTCTGGTATCAGAAGGATATCGTCTGCTCCAATCAGTGTTTGGATACCTTTTAATCCACGTTACATGCAATTAGACCAACACCAGAGCTGCAATTTGCCCCACAGGATAAAGATGCAATAAAAATGGTTCATCTGGAACAGAACTGAGTGGGCTTACCACACAGAGCTCCTAAAAGACCCAAACATCTGCAAAATCCAGAGGCAGCGAGTGCAGCAGGTGTGGATCACATAAGGGCAACAAAGCAGAATAAATGGGACTTTTTTCCAGCTCTCCCCCCTTCCTTCTCTTCCTCCCCCTCGTCCCCCTCCTCCCCTTTCACACTCTTCTGCAAACTTGCAGACTGAGTGACTCATCCAGGCGTATCAGCTCAGCGCACACTTAATCTACACATAAACACACAACAAGTCTCACACACGAAATGCCCTCATCTTCTCTGGAGTTCATTCTGCCCGTTCGACGTGAAACCCGCTGAAAAGCTTTATTTGTAGTCTTCCTGTGTGCTTATCCCCCCCCCCCCCCCCACACACACACACACACGGATAAAAACATCACAACTCCGTGTTCTGCTGGTGAAATGGAAGTTTGGACTAATTTAGAGTTACACAATTCGTCATTAGATGGAATTTACTGGAAATGAGCCGAGGTCCTGCTGGGTTTCATGCTTTCCCTCGAAACATCTAATCACCCACTTAATTACACCTGACATGTCAGGTGGAGGCAATTAAGTACAATTAAAGCGACTGGCAGGATAAAGGGCAGCAGTGCCAGGATGAAACACGTCGCCCAGCTGAGAGGCTGCTTACCTGTTGCTGCGGTGTTTACGGGAGCGACTCAGGCTCCTCGCAAATGTAACCTCCTCGAGTGTCCGCCGAGCTACAGGTTCGGAGAGTCCGTCTGATTTGGTCTCACCGAGCTTTGCCCCTTCCCAAGTCCCTTCACGCTCCGATTTGATTCAGATCTGGTTCGGCTCTCTCTCTTTTAACGCGTACGAGGCTAGAACGTGTGCGCGAGTTCATCCGGGCGCTGTCCAGGAGGCGCGTGGTGCTGAAACGAGAAGTGAAACGAGTCCTCACGCGCTTGTTTTCTCCCTCCGGCCGCCCGGAGCGTAACGCAGTTTCCATAGCGACCTGCCGTCTCTCAGTCATGACTCGTGCGTGTGTGTGTGTGTGTGTGTGTGTGTGTGTGTGTGTGTGTGTGTGTGTGTGTGTGTGAGCTTTACAATAACAATGGTGAGGAGTTGTGGGAAAGAGGGCGTTCCCAAATGTGAGGTAGACAGACATTTTCTTCTTCTTTCTTCTTCTAAATTCCATTTTTGGTCAAATAAACATAATTGTGTTATAATCATCGCTTACAGTGAAGGCAGTGAGGGTTATTACATTTGTTTTTATGTGACTCTATTAAAGGTTATTCTGAAGTTGAAGTCAAACTTTTGTGGTGAAACAACACAAGACGCTCCAGATGTGTTTGAAAACAACAACCCATGTTGTTGTTTATTTTTCAGTAATAAACAGGGTTTTTAACTGTCAACAATATTATTCCACATTTTCCAAAATCAGCTGGTGGTTGGCTCGGCTGGCCCTCAAAATCAAAATGGAAAATGTGTTGATTTCGGGAAAAGTGCAGGGCCCAAAACTTGGTGTTTCCCGACCCACCTTGGGGTCATGCCCCTGCCTTTGGGACCCACTTCTGGAGGCCGGAGCTCCATCTTTTACTAATTTTGCCCCAACTTTCTTTGTTTCTGGACCTGCTGGTTTTCTGCCTGCTGAATGAGTTTTATTTCACCCATCGTACGGTGCTTGTTCAGCGTTGTGAAGTTTGCATTCTAGATAAGCAGCTTTTAAACTCCTTCGATAATCTGAGTATTATTTTGTATATAAATATACTCAGCTGCATGCACCCTCCCAAAAACATCAGGGACCAGTGGCGGCAGGTGAAAAATAAATTCATGTTGTGGCTGTATGTGAAATATTTCCCTTCTTAGTCCATAATAAATATTAAAATGAAAAGTTCAAATCTACTATGATCCCCCTCAAAATAATCTAATTACTTTTTCTTAATGAGCAATTTTCAAATTTACAGATAAATCAGACAATAACACACCTTGTGAGCCTTTAAGAACAACCACAGTCGATAATTTCCAGTTTTGATTTATTTCCATTTTACCATGTCTATAGTGTTCCAGGTTGAGTTTTCAGTGTCCAGCAGCCTGAGTGTCTCCATCAATCATCTACTGAAAGCATGCACAAGCAACATGCTCAGCAATATTTTAGGTTTTGTGTGAAATTAAGTCCAGGACTACAAATGAGCTTCACCAAAGTGACGTCATCGAACCAGACATGGAGAAAACTGAGGCAACATGGATGTAAGTTCAGCAAACTTCCCACAGGAGGAAAGAACCACCATGTGGTGAGTAGCAGCCACGCTAGGGGAGAGGAGATTATGTGGTGACGTCACATGTGCGACATGCCAATTTCTAGTTTGTAGTCATGCTAATTACGAACTTTTACAAGCTAATAAATCTCAAAGTACGTGACTGGAGTGGTCGAAACTCCCATCATTACTTTTCATTTTATTGCAGTACAACACGTGTGCGATCCAGGGCGTAAGGCAAAGCGGATTAGAAAACAGCGTTTTTAGGCTTGCTTTCATTTTCTCGTTCTCCCGGGAACCTAAGGTGCGGAAGTGACTTCCTATTTGGGAAAGGTGGCATCTTAGCACCCTTAAATAACCTGCACTTGTGTAGCCTCTTTCAGAATCAGAGGACTCCAAAGTGCTTTTCACTGCAGTGTATCATTCACCCATTCACACACTGACGGTGATGTAGCCACAGCTGCCCTGGGGCTCACTGACAGGGGCAAGGCTCTGCACAGGCACCATCGTTCCTTCCAACCACCATCAGCAGGCAAAGTGGGTAAAGTGCCTTGCCCAAGGACTCAAAAGCAAAATTCTCTGATGGGAGCCGGGATTGAACCTGGACAACCCGCCCTACCTCCTGAGCTACTGTTACTCTGTCCTTGTCAGAAAGGTGCAGAAATCCAGCGTTCAGTTGATCACAATAGATTATGGTTGGATTTATCTGTGAAAAACAAGAGTGTTGAAACTCTCTTTGATAAAGGGGTGCTTGTGAGAGCACAGGAGTACATTTTCAGTCCAGCTCTGGTTTGCTACGTAATGGGGAGACATTGTATAAACAGTATTTGCTTTCTGTCTCACGGAAACATAATTTGGCCTATAGCCTGTCTGTTGCTGTGTCTATACAAAGTGTCCAGCAGGATGAGTCATCCGTTCTGTTTCCTCCCCCAGACCAAGCCGTTAATCCCCCCCTCCATCCTTGTTTCGGCTGGCCAGTGCACTTACTGGAACCTCTTCCTATCAAGGCTGAAAACTCTTTCTCCTTATTTTATGATCAAATGTTCCGTTCTATATCTACAAAAGGCAAAATACTTCTTTTAGATCTATAGTGTTAACCAGTCTGACATAAGGCTTTAATTTATTGTTAGATCTTAAAGAAATCACACACACACACACACACACACACACACACACACACACACACACACACACACACACACACACACACACACACACAGCCTTTATATAAAAAGGTCAATTTACTCCCTCACAGAAAAGCTCACATGACGTCACTAGACATGTTCCGCATCCCACCGATACCGGGTACAAACTATTTTTAGACTCGATGGAACTTGTCTGCTTTGGACACGCGCGCCTGTCCACATCTCAGTCGTGACGTAGAAGGCGCGTGCACGCCGTGCTAAATCGTGATCGTGTGTCACGACGATGAAACGCTGTCAGAAGTATTTTAACCAAAGATAAAGACAAATCAAGATAGTTGACCCAAGATATTCCCTGCTATGGTGAACAGGACCAGTTGGTTCTAGCGTGCTGATATTCAGAAAAATAAATAAAAACATTTGAGACACAGACAGCTACGTCTGGGGTGAGTTTAACCTCGAAAAAATCTATTAAAATATTGACTTCTCAGCACTACGCTGTATGCTAATAATACAATTACTTTAATAATTTGCTAAGTCACTGTATTAGTTATCACGTAAGATTCATTAAACGCACGT